CCCATTTTCTGTGTCTTTTTTTTCCAAGGTCAGATGCCTTTATTCCCCTTTTCTGTGTTCTTTTTTTTCCAAGGTCACATACCTTTACTCCCATTTTCCAGATTTGTTTGGTTTTTTTTTTAAGGTCAGATGCCTTTATTCCCATTTTCTGGCTCTTTTTTTTTCAGATCACATGACTTTATTCCCATTTTCTGGATTTATTTTTTTTTATAAGGTCAGATGACTTTACTCCCATTTTCTGGATTTTTTTTTTCCAAGGTCAGATGCCTTTATTCCCATTTTCTGTGTTTTTCTTTTTTCCAAGGTCGGATGCCTTTACTTCCATTTTCTGGATTTGTTTTTTTTTTTTTAGGTCAGATGCCTTTATTCCCATTTTCTGTGTCATTTTTTTTCCAAGGTCAGATGCCTTTATTCCCATTTTCTGACTTTTTTTTTTTTTAAGATCACATGACTTTATTCCCATTTTCTGGATTTATATTTTTTTTTAAGGTCAGATGCCTTTACTCCCACTTTCTGGATCTTTTTTTTTAAGGTCAGATGACTTTATTCCCATTTTCTGGGTCACTTCTTGCTCAGAGCCTTTGGTACAATAAACCTCTTATTGCTGGGGCTCTGAGCACTGATTAAACAACCAGAGCCCTGGATTTGGAAGGAGATGGATACTGGGAGACCCCACTGCTGGAAACTCTGTGTTGGTTCTTTAGGAGACCACTTGGTGCTTCCAGAAAGATCCAACAGGCAGGACACAAGTGGTGGAAGGGCTGTGGGAGAGCCAGGGATTGGTGTCTGTGTTTGCTGCTGAAATCCCTTCTGAGCTGTCTGATGAGCTCAGGGCCCAATTAATGAATTGCTGATCCTTCAGAAAGTGCTGTTGGGAATATTTCCTGGAGTGTGCAGCCTCTGAGCAGCACAGCTTTGCTTTCCCTTTGCAGGTACAGCAGCATTGTCCATGTTTTCATCCGGATATCCCGGGAGGAAGGGCTGAAAACCTTGTACAGGGGGTTCACCCCCACCATCCTGGGGGTGATCCCCTACGCTGGGCTCAGCTTCTTCACCTACGAGACCCTGAAGAAAGTCCATGCAGGTAAAGCTTTGCTTTTTGGGGGAGGCTTTGGGGCCAGCTCCAGGTGTTTGGGTTGAGGGGGTGCAGGTAAAGGTTTGGGGGAGACTTGGGGGCCAACTCCAGCTGTTGGAATTGGGGGGGAGCAGGTAAAGATTTGCTTTCTGGGGGAGACTTGGGGCCAACTCCAGGTGTTGCAATTAGGGGGTGCAGGTAAAGGTTTGGGGGTGGCTTTGGGGCCAACTCCAGGTGTTGCAATT